GAATTTTGGTATATCCTACCGAATTCAGTCTAGAAGCAACTACATCAAATTTGGTTAAAATCGGTTGAGATATAGCTATACCTCCCATATATATGTTTCATCCGATTTGGTGTTAAAGTTCCTTACATGCGTAATATGCACTCCACAACAATGATATTTGATACCGGTCATCAGATACAGCTCAGAAATAAGTGGCTAAAATTGTTTTAAGATTGGTTCAGATTTGGATATAGCTCAGATATAGCTATACCTCCCATATATATATTTCATCCAATTTGGTTTTTAAGTCCTTCACATTCTCAATATGCATTCGACAACAAATGCTCTAAAGCCAAATGTTGATAGGTGGTATGACCTACTTCAAACAAATTCTTTTGTAACGGGAGCTCTACTAAATGTGCATAGCGGTGTAGGGTATTATAAAGTCGGCCCGCCCGACTTTTGACCTTTCCTTACGGAGTTTTTCTTCTCTTCTGGTGGACCAAGTCCCCTTGTTTAATATTTTCAGCATTTCAAACATCTTGCCTGACTGTTCTCCATCTATTGTTCACTTTAATTTTAAAACACAAACACATAGTTGACATTATTTATTTCAGATTTCTCATGTCAAGTCTAACAAATTTATTACCATGTCACATTAGGCGCTGACTATTCTCGTAAAAATGTTTATTTTAAAAATAGCTTCACTGGACATACGTCATTTGAAATGTTTTATTTTTATTTGGAATGTCTACAGATCTATTTTAGCCAATTTTTGTTGGCGAACTAATGGCCAATAATGTTACGCACATTTTCGTTTAGCTGTTGTTTTTGTTCCAATATTTTCAAAGCGTTTTCATGTCAATTTCTCTGTTTGTTGATTTGTTTGTATTTTTGCTATTTTTTTTTTTTTTTTTTTTTTTTTTTTTTTTTTTGAATGCCAATGTTTTATGTCTTTGGATTTGTTATGTTTTGTGGTTAATGAACTGAAATAATAAAAGTAACAACAGATTTTCTAGAACCGCTCATTGTTATTTTGCATACTAATTTGCCTTTGGATACGGGAAAAAACGCCAATCGATAAAATCACGTTTTTATGTATAACTGATTCGGAGAAATGTGGCTGTCGTACTGGTATGTTTTTCTATACTTTATTGCTTGGTCAATGTGGAGAAAAAATATTTTTTTTTGTACAGCAGGAATGACTCCTACACTTTTTCTCTGAAATTTACTTTGCAGTTTAAAAAATATTTATTATTTTTTTAATAAAACAAAAATATATATTCATAGGTGGTTTTCGAAAAAAATACGAAAATTACCTCACTGAATTCAAAATTAATTCATAATCCATTTTTTATCCTTTACAGTGGCAAAATTACGCCGGAAATAATTTCTCCAAGACTCAGTTTCAGTTAAAGAATTCAGGTTGTAATACTTTTATATATTTCTTCCGTTAATACAACTAACTTCTGTAAAAACGACTTTCAAATTTATTGTGTTCATAAACAGATCGTACAATTTAAATAAACAATTAAGGAAATAACAATTTTCAATTTATTACACAAAACAAAGCGAAATCTGCGGTTTTATTAAAAAATTATAATTTTTTTCAAATTCGCACTTTATTTGCATTAATATTTATTTCCCCATATTAAATTATAAAATATTAATATGAACTCGATGTCGTCATAGAACTTGTTACGAAAATTTGCACTTTTAAGGAGTATTTTGATGATTTATGCTACTTTTTTCAAAGAAATTGTTTTAAATTTGTTATTTGAAGTTCGTAATGGGTACAATTTCCTTTCACAGAAAATTTCAAACTCATATAAATTTCCCATATAATGGTATTTCCTGGTATTACCCGATTTTAGCTACATCGAATTGATTTTAGTCATCGATTTCTCTGCAGATATTTGGCTTTATAGGTCTACGTTTCGTATAGCCTCTATATACCTATTCTTCATTTTTAATGTTCGATCCGGCCGAACTTAGCTGATTTTTATACTCTCAGCCATATGAATAAATGTTCGACCCGGTCGAACTTAGCTGATTTTTAAACTCTCAGCCATGGCTCTCTCGAAGAGAATATCCGATTAGGTCCACACTTGGTACGTCGTAATATTTTTGTCAAACATAGATCGAGTTCGACAATATCGGTCAACTCCTTCTGGTACCTCCCCCACAAAAGGTCGAAATTTTCAAAAATATATATTTTCTGCATAGAAAGAGAAAGGATAATCCGATTTTGCTCCAACTTTGCAAATCATAATATTTGCGTCAGTGCTAGGTCATGTGCGAAAATGGACAATATCGGCCCACTCTGTCAAGCACCTCCCCCACAAAGGGTTAAAAAAAGGAATAATTATAACTCTTATAAAATGCAAAATAAGAGACCGATCATCTTCAAATTCCACAAATTCCAATATTTTTGTTAACAAAAGATCTGATGTGAAAATGGGGTATATCGGACTACTCCTTCTGGTACCTCCCCACAATTGGCCAAATATTGAATAATTATAACTTTTATAAAATTTGAACTATAAGTCCGATTATCTTTCAATTTCGCATACTTGAATATTTCCACCAATACAAGGTTTGGGATGAAGAACGAACCACTTTTTCTAGTACCTCCACCACAACGGGTCAAAATTTGGAATAAACATCAAGCGTATATAAGCGAAATGAGTATCCCATTTCTTTCAAACTCGACGCATTCCAATACTTTTATAAACACAAGATCTGTTGTGAAGATGGACAATATTGGATGAACGGATCAAAATTCTAAATAATTGTAACTCTCATAAAACACGAACTTTTCGAAAAATGATCAAATCAAATAAAGTGAAGGAAGTAGTCGATATAAAATCCAAATCTGATACTTTTTTATATTTTATTTCAGATACATTTCAGATTTATTTCAGATACGAAATGGGAAATATTGGTCAACTCCTTCGAAATCTCTCCTATCGAGGAATAACATTTTGAATAATCATAACGCAAGTCAAAATATATTTAAATAACCGTTTACGTTTACTGTCTCTGAGGGTCTTTGGAAAACATTTTTAAGGATTTTTTGTTTTTTATGGACTTTGGAAAAAAAATTTAAAAAAATCCACGTTTATTGACTCTGAGGTTCCTTGGAAAAATTGTTTAAAAATCGACTCTTATTGCCTCTGAGGTTGCTTGGAAAAAATGTTTAAAAATCGACTATTATTGAATATTAGGAATTTTGGAAAAAAAATTAAAAAATAATCCACGTTTATTGACTCTGAGGTTCCTGGGAAAAATTATTAAAAATCGACTTTTATTGAATCTTAGGAACTTTGGAAAAAATTAAAAAAATCCACGTTTATTGACTCTGAGGTTCCTTGGAAAAAAAGTTAAAAAAATCGACTTTTATTGACACTTAGGATCTTTGGAAAGTTTATGAACTTTTAGGGTCTTTGGAAAATTAAAAAAAAAAAACACGTTTATGAACTTTTAGGGTCTTTGGAAAATGTTTTGAAAACATCCACGTTCTTATGGTCTTTGAAAAATGTCAAAAAAATCCACATTTATGAACTCTTAGGACCTTTGGAAATTGTTAAAACAATCCAGTCTTTGGAAAATGTTTAAAAAAATTCACATTTATGGACTCTTAGGATCTTTGGAAAATGTTTAAAAAATCCACGTTTATGAACTCTTACGGTTTTTGGAAAATGTTTTGAAAACATCCACGTTTATAAATTCTTATGGTCTTTGAAAAATGTCAAAAAAATCCACATTTATGAACTCTTAGGACCTTTGGAAATTGTTAAAACAATCCAGTCTTTGGAAAATGTTTAAAAAAATTCACATTTATGGACTCTTAGGACCTTTGGAAATCGTTAAAACAATCCAGGTTTATTGACCCTGAGGGTCTTTAAAAAATGTTTAAAAAATCCACGTTTATGAACTCTTAGGGTTTTTGGAAAATGTTTTAAAAACATCCACGATTATAGACTATTAGAGTCTTTGGAACATGTTTAAAAAATCCATTTTTATGAGCTCTTAGGGTCTTTGGAAAATGTTTAAAAAATCCACGTTTATGAACTCTTAGGATCTTTGGAAAATTTAAAAAAATCACGTTTATAGACTCCGAGGGTCTTTAAAAAATTAAAAAAATAATCTTTAACAACTCTTAGGGCCTTTGAAAAAATGTTTAAAAAATTACCTTTATAGACTCTGAGGGTCTTAGAAAATAATGTTAACACAATCCACGTTTATCGACTCTTAAGGAAAAATTAAAAATACCAGATTTATGGAATCAAAGATCAAACTGTTTAAAAAATCCACGTTTATTGACTCAGGGTCTTTGTCAAAAATGTTACAACAGTTCGCGTTTACTGACTCTAGGGGTCTTCGGGAAAAATAAATTCAAATCTTTTATGGACCTTTAGGGCCTTGGGAAACATGTTTAAAAATCCACCTTTATAGACTCTGAGGGTCATTGGTATAAAATTTTAAAATCTTATGTGGACCCTTGGGGTCTCTGGAAAAAATGTTTAATAAATCCACGTTTATAGACTCTGAGGGTCTTTGGGGAAAAATATTATAATATTAAAAAATGATGCAAAATCCGTGTAAATGGACTCTGAAGGCCTTAAAAAATATTAAAAAAATCCTGGACAGTTCAAACTGCGGGTCTCCAAAAAAATTAATGCACGATTATGGACTCTGATGATATTTGAAAAATCATTGATGATAGTAATACAAGTGGTATATAGCTAGATCTTTAATACTTTTCTCACCAATACATTACATTCAATAAACATTCAGGAGAAGGATCGTAACCTCAACTCACATAGACAGTTTAACATAGTTTTTCAACACTTTTCTTTAAAAAAATGCATTACACCCCAATATACATTTATTTATTTAATTCAATAAACATTTAGCCTTAATCGCCAATTTTGAAAAAGGCAAACCACAAACAAACAAACTATGATATATAGCTAACATAATAAATACTCTACTGTTTATTTTTAATTTCTTTACAGATGAATAAACCTTGTAATAATGAATCACATAACCGCCAAATAATTCCATTAAAGTGGGCAACAATTGGGAACATTGCGACGACAGACCGACAGACACACACGAAAGCACACATAATTCTAAATTGAAATTGAGTTTTTGTTTTGTTTTTGCTCTCAAATTGTAACGACATACAGCATTCCAAACAAAATATAGTCCCCCTTTTTATTCGGTTAATTACAACTACCCCAAAAAAGCGAAATCCACAAAATTAAATAATGGATCCAACAACAGCATACGATGACAGACCGATCAGCATGTATGACAATCTGAATATGACCAATAATGTTAATACGACGAGCACACCTAAAACCAAACTAAACGAACCGGTGACGATGTCGCCGTCGTCAACGTCAACGTCGACGTCGAAAACAAATGGAGCAGCACATTCGTCACCCTTTACCGATATAACGTTTAAGTTTAACGACAACAATAACACGAATGGTACCCCTCTGCTGAATGGTCGAAATCGGAACTTGAATGAAATGCCACCCAATGCAATGACCGCTCTATACTCTACCCCATATAAAATGGCCAATACACCGTCAATAACCAAACCAGCCATAATAACAACTACCACTGCATCACCACCACCTCAATATGCGCCTTCTCTAGCAGCATCAGAAGCCAGTATAGGAAATACATTCACAACGTCATTATCACCATCAGCTGCTGCTGCGACAGCAACAACAACGTCATCATCGCCAGCACCAGCACAACTCCTTGCACCGCCCATTGCCGCTCTAGCCGAGGCGACAACAGCAAATAATTCAACAATCAATGCCAGCCGACTCAATGAACGGCCGCTTAGTCAACATTCGCAATTCGAGCTAAACGAAACAATTCACAGTATTGCTGCAGTGAAAGCTGCACTCAACGAAGCCAAGTCGAAATTTTTTGGCATCAACGGTTATGGGCCACAGCATCAGCCATTTGTTGATCCGCACGAATCTCAGAGACAAAATCTACTATCGTCGTCAGCGGCCACACAACCGGTAGTGGTACAGCAAAAGCCCCAACCCAAATACCAGAATATACCCGAAAATAGTGCACTGTTTCGTACACCAACTGCCAATGTGGCTCCGGAATTGCCGCCAAAACCGATTGAATATCAAAATTTGAATAAAACACCCACACCGCCGAACAAGAATCCATCATCATCGATCAACAACAATAGTCCAGTGGATCCGCATCATCAGCTTAGTCGTAAAATGCCAGACGGTACAATTTATAATCAGATATCGTTAAACGATCTCGATGGTGGTCGATCGCAGGTGAGTTAAGATTTTTGTTCGTATTGAATTAATATTACGTTTGGTTTTTTGTTTAAATTAAATTTGAAGTTTGAAAGAAATACTTATATGGACATGTTGGAGATTGTTTAGAATGCGAAAAGGAATGGGATACAATTAAAGGTGGCATTAGCTAAAACAGAGGGCATATTAAATGACAAAGAAGCAAGAGGAAATTTTTAATTTTATCTACTTCGGCAAAGAACTTTAACAAAATAAATCGGGAGTTATACCGGACATGTGTCAAAGTCTGGAGTAAAATTCTCTTATGTGATTTAGAAAACCAGTAAGGAATACTCAAAAGTCGGGCGGGCCCGACTATATGATTTCCAACACCACTATGCATATAAAGTACAGCTTCCGTAACAAAAGAATTTTTTTGAAGTAGATCATACCATCTATCAACATTTGGCTTTGGAGCTGTTATAGTTTGCTATAGTTTACTTATAGAGGGATTATATTATAAAAAGTAAAAAAAACAGCTAAGATCGCCCGGTCCGAACTTTTAATACCCTCTACCACTTCGAATGAAAGATAGCGTGATTACAACAGACAGACAGACAGGCGGACATCGCTGGATCTTAGAATTTTACGCTGATCCGAATATATATACTTTGTAGGGTCTATTATGAATATTTCGAGGAGTTACAAACGGAATGTCAAAGTCCACCAGGGTATAAAAATATAAAAATATATAAATAAGATGAATTGTATATAGGAGCTATAGCTATAACTGAACCGATTTTCTCCAAATTTGATGTACTTGCTTCTAGACTGAATTCGTTCGGATGTACCAAAGGCAGGACATTTGGTGCACAATTAACCTGAAATCGGTTGAAGATATATATGTGAGCTATATCCAAATCTGAACAGATCTTGATAAAATTTATCAGAGGCATTTCCGAGCGCTATAAAATATCTGGTACCAAATATCATTGTTGTCGAATGCGTATTACGAATGTGAGGGACTTAAAAACCAAATCGGATGGAACATATAGATGGGAGCTACAGCTATATCTGAACCGATTTTCTCAAATTTGATTTGGTGTACTTGCTTCTAGACTAAATCCGGTGGGATGTACCAAAATACAGGTCATTTGGTGCACAATTAACTCGAAATTAGTTGAAGATATATTGAAGCTATATATAAATCTGATCCGATTATCACAAATTTTAATAGGATTCGTCCTTGGGCTAAACAAATATTGTTTGGAAAATTTCATCTCAATCGGATAATAAATGCGACCTGCATTTTGGACAGACGGACGGACGGACTGACGTGCAAAAATCGACTCAGAAAGTGATTCTATGAAGATCATTAAAAGTAACTATGGGTCTATCTCGGGATTGGAATGTGAGACAATTGAACTCCTCTTTCACATTTTACAAGATTTATGATTAGTCAAAATTTTGACCTTTTGGGGGGAAGTAGAGGTCTAATCTATCCCATCTTCACACAAGATCTTGTGTTTTTTTGGGATATGCCATGTTGGAAAAAATCGAATGCTTATTTCCATTTTATGAGAGTTATAGGTATCCAAAATTGTGACCTGAGAGAGAGTAGTCTAAATATTGGAAAATGCGAAATGTGAAAACTATCGAACTCTTCTTTCACATTTTGTGATTACTCAAAATTTAAACCCTTTGTGTGGGAGTTACTAGAAAAAGTCGAGGGTATTGTTCTTTTTCGCACCTGACGTAGCACTTATAGGACGTAACACATAGGATTTGCAAAGTTTTTGGCGAAATCAGATACTCTCTTCTTGCTTTGTATGACCACCATGGTTAAACCCAAACAGATCCTATAACTAAGTGATGTGATTGTGTTGTCCTGTACAGGAAGAACCTTTAGTCTCCTCCTGAAAATGGTCCACTTGCGTCATGATACTACACCGCATAGACCCAAGTATCGATTTATGCATGTATAGTTTTGTAGGCAAATTTATTGTCCAATTAAGTCGATCATTGCGCAGCTCATTGGCCCAATGAAAATCCCTTTTGAATTTGGTTGTAATCGATGGAGTTTAGATACATCTCCCAAATTTGTTTTCAAAATAGAATAGATTTTGCCAGGTTCTGCTTTCATAACAGAGCGCAGTTCTTGTGTTCAGCGACGAAGATCATTTCTAGCTCAATTGGTACGTAAATAAGAAGAATTGTAGATTTTGGAGTGAAGATCTGCCAGAAGCGTTCCAAAAACTACCAATACATCCAGGAAAAAATCACTGTTTTATGCGATTTATAGGTTGGTGGTATCATTGCCTTCGCTCCTTTAAAGGTGTTGCGGATCATAGTTTTACATGAGATTGGTGAGGGCTACCATGAAATGATATCCAATTTTTTTTAACCCAAAATGTAAGAGCTTGACTTACATGTGGTTTCAACAAGAAGGTGACACTTAGCACACAGTTCTCGTTGGTGAACGTTCATGACCGGTCAATTGGAGACCTAAATCGTGCTAATCAACACCTTTATACTATTTTTGTGGGTCTATGCTAAAGCTCATATCTTTACAGACGTACCCGCTTCAATTGGGGAATGGAAGTTAACATTGAAGTATTTACTCGTGATATATAGGGTATAATAAAGTCGACCTCGCCAATCTTTTTTCTTTTCTTACTGGATAAAGATCATTTAACTGTTGCAATTTTAAAATTTTTTTCGCATAATCAGATTAGTTTTAGGTTCTTCGTAGAACTTAATTGATTCAATAAAATTCAACGTTTAAAAACCTGAATTTAAAAAAAAATGTGGTCTCATTCTAAATTTTGTCTGGCAACATATTGATCCGGTTTCAGTTACCTATTGTTGATATTTTCTTTGATGATTTGTATATATTTCAATCGAATTTATCATCGAAATTCCAACTGTCATAATAAATAGACTTGTTGTTCTAATGATTTTATTTTCTAAATTAGTCTTTCACTTGTTAACACCTTCATATATGTCCTACATAGGATAACGCCAGAAGTGATAAGTTTTAGAGATAAATATTGGAATTTCAATGTTCATGTTTAAACGAACCGAGGGACGGGTACTTCACCAAAGTTTTTTTTTTTTTTTTTGTGAAAGAAGATAACTGACAAACAGTATAGAAATCAAGGATTTGTAATCAACTTTCGTTTTATTTCCTATTTCCCTAAATTACTCTCCATTGAAAATTATAAAGCGAATATGAAATTAATATACATTTAATTTTTTTCTCTTTCAGACCGTCTACATGGCGACAACAGTACCACAAAATATTAAAGGTAATAAAATCGCTGGACGACATACACCAACTCGAAGTAGCTTACGGCACAGTCGTATGCTGGTCGTAAGTAACAAACATTATGAGGGTATGTCTAACAATATTCACTTCCTAAATGCTCTAAATTACAATTTTATTCAATATTTCTAACTTCTCTTTTCATTTCAAATAATCCAGTAGAAATCAAACATCCCAATCCAATGGGTTTTCATCAGCCAAATCTTGCCCGCTGGCTATTAATATTGCAGATAATAATTGGTATTCTATTAATAAGTCTATCAGTTTGGATATTTGTGCTATCACCCAATACACCCATTCAAGATAATCCATATTGGTGTGGATTAGTGGTAAGTGCAGTGTAAATAAATTGTTTTCATATATAAATATTAAATAAATGTATGTTTTTCATTTCAGCTACTTATAACCGGTATTATAGGTTTAATATTAATACGCTATCATCGGATAAAACGTGATAAAACTCGAGAACATTGTTTCATATTTTTACGTATGGATTCGTATGTTCTTGCCCTGCTATCGTTACTGCTATGCTGTGTGGCTTTAATATTTGCTGCCATACATTATAGTCGCATCACAGCCTCCGATACAAAATGTGAAAGTGTACACATGCTAATCGAGCATGGCTCATGTGTGTGTACCTTTCATGCTCCTCCGCTCACAAATAACGCTACCGAAACATCATTGACCTCGTCCACGACTGCAGAGGAAACAACAAATGCCACAGGCCAGGAAATGGTAGATAATAGTTATAAGTTTGAATATCGGTAAGTAAGAGATTTGAAAATGTATTGTGTATTCTGTTCTGATATTATTTTTATATTTTTAGTGACCTAAGTTGTGACGAAGTCACCGGCCCCTGGACTACAATACTGGGTCTATCGTTTATCATTAACTCTGTGGGATTTATAATATCATTTGTTTACATGATTTTATTGGCTTGCTGTCGCAGTGCCTCGAAACGTTCATATACAACCGTCCGTACAAGTACCTTTTAAGTTTAAATTTAGTTACATTTTTATATTTTTAACAAAAATAATAGTAATAATACATTTTATTTATAAAAGTGGTGTTTAAACTTACAACACAAGTTTACAAACAAAATACAGTTTTTATATATATTTAATTTAAATATAGTACTTAATTAAAAAATAATAATAATTGCATATGTGCGTAACATAATTATAAAAAAATAATAAAAAATTTAAATTAACAATTATTTATTTTTAATAAAAAAAATATTCAGCATAACTTTAAAAAAACCCTTAAAATTAACAATTGCTTCTTTTTACTTTATAATTAAGTGTACGATATTTACATTCTAAAGAATGATTGGTTGGAGAAAATATATATTTTGAAAGCAGGCAAGTTCCAGACTTGTGTTTCGTGACAAATTCTGGTGAATATATTTTCTAAAAATGCAGTAATTTACAATATATAATGGTTTGTTGTTTTCTAGAATTTAATAATGTTGTTGGAATTGTTCGTCTTACTTGTAGTAAAGATAATTATATGGTATTTCGACTTAAAAATTTGTATTATAAATTCACATTTCATTAAATCGCTGTAAACTAATTTTACTTAATAATAATTTCTGCTGGTGGTAATATACTATCGCCATATAAACAATACCATATGCTGGAATACCAGATGGTTCGATCAACCCATTCACTGCCCGCCAATACATGTCCAATGAATGGTGAATCTCGAGATCTGAAAATTAAAACAGAAATGATTATTCGTATTTTCTATTGTTAGTATTAAACCCACGACTAGTGCGTTAATATTACTTTAGACGTCCACGATATGGCAATAACAATTATAGATTTTTTTTAAATTTTAAAAAGGAACAAGAGATGTTTATGAACGAAATAATATATTTAGTCCCCTAAAAGTATGCTCATTAATTTATACTAATCAATCGCTTAAAAATGTCAAGGGGATAATAGAGAACAAGTGAGCAATTTTTAGTTAAGAAACACCCCTATTACTTAATCGTGCAAACCTATTACTTTAACCAAATAATGACCCGAATATATCATGTCATGTCAGCTAACCTATACCTGATGTAAATGTTACTATGTACTAAATTTCGAATTTTGTAGGGAAGGAGCTCCTGACCTAAGTTTGAAAAAAATATCAACAATAGCCTAATTTAAAACCAGTAAGGAAAAGCCAAAAGTCGGGCGGGGCCGACTATATGATATCCTACACCACTATGCATAATTATTAGAGCTCCCGTAACAAAAGAATTTTTTTAAAGTATATCAGTATTTGGCTTTAAAGCAGTTATAGTTTGGTTTCAGAGAGAACTAATATATGGGGGGAATATCCAATTATGAATCAGTTTTCACTAATTTTGACGGAGACAATTTAATATTTTATACAAAAATAACATTGTTATAGAGTGCACGATAGCACTTTGAGAAGGATTATATTGAAAATATGTATATCGGAGCCGAGTTCTACAAGATGGAAACGTACGTCCCGAAATTCACTCCATTTGGGCTGATATTAGCCATTATTTGCACAATTAGCCTTAAATCGTATTAAGGATATCTATGGGACCTATATCCAAATCTTAACCGAACCCGATAAAATTTGGTAAAGGTATTTCCGAGCTCTATAAGATATTTTGTACCAATTATCATTATTGTCGAATGCATATTACGAATGTCATTGACTTATCTGATGACACATATATGTGGGAGCTATGGCTATATCTAAACCGATTTTCACAAAATTTGATGTAACTGCTTCTAGACTGAATTCGGTCGGACTTCAGGACTTTTGGGCAGATTTTGGTCATTTGGTGTACATTTAACCCGAAATTGGTTGAAGATATATATGGGAGCTATATCCAAATATGAACCGATCTTAATAGAAGTATTTCCGAGCTCTATAAGATATCTGGTACAAAATATCACTGTTTTCGAATGGATATTACGAATGTGAGAGACTTAAACACCATATCGAATGGAACATATATATGGGAGCTATAGCTATATCTGAACTGATTTTAACCAAATTTGATGTACTTTCTTCTAGACTGAATGCGGTTAGATGTGCCAAAATTCAGGTCATTTGGACTTATATTTTCCATTTGGTACACAATTAACCCGAAATCGTTTAAAGATATATGGGAGCTATATCTAAATCTGATCCGATTATCACCAATTTCAATAGGGTTCGTTCTTGGGCCAAACAAATATTGTTTGTAAAATTTTATCTCAATCGGATAATAAATGCGCCCTGCATTTTGTTCACAAGAATACATGGACGGACGGACAGAGAGATGGACTGACATGTATAAATCGACTCAGAAAATGATTCTATGAAGATCCTCCAAAGTAACTATGGGTCTATCTCGCTTCCTTCTCCCTGTTACTAACAAATGCTCAAAGACATAATACTCTTATCCCTATGTGATGTAGGGTATAAATATCCATTCCCCTAATATAAAATTTCAACTTTTTTTGCAAAACGTTGACTTGTGTGGCGTATCTGAACATGATGTAAGTTTGATCTACCAAATTCGGAGTAAATCGGAAATTCAGAAAGTTTTAACTGAAATAGAGTTTTTCCGAAGAGGTGAGCTGTTTGAAACCATAAGAGTATGGAGTGCAGAAGTATTTTGGACTGAGTGTACTTAATTATACACCAAAGTGGATTTTTTACTTTTCGATTCGATTGTTATCTTTGATCTTTCAATTGTTCAATCAGCTAAAAATTGATTTTTGATTTTAACATTTTAAACCAAAGTTAATTTTAGAATTGTTGATGTGTTGTGTTGTTTTGCCAACAGATGATAAGAACTATTAGAAAAATATATACTATTTGACTTTAATAAATATGGTGTTCCTATATTCCCTAATAAGATAAACTAAAGTGAAAACAAGTCGCCTTTGACATTATTATCACTTACAAAACTCGATTTCTATTTTTTGATTTTCAGGATTTTCCATAACAAAAGTCGACTTATTTTACACTGTAAAACCCCGCATGTAACTCCTCCATGAGGAGACAAAGATTTTTTACAAAAGTTGATTTTTAATAACTGAATTGATAGAGGGTTTAAAAGGACGATATATGAACTCTATACTGTTCAGTTACAATAAATATTCATCAAGAGTAAATATACCCCCATTATCTTATTATACATCCACACATAATCCTCTCTAGCTTACCTCATAATTTGCGTTTGTGTCTTTTCAACGAATGTAATTGACCAATTCCACGGTACATCTCGCTTCTTTTCACAACCCAAATAGGCGGTGGTACTGTGCAGGAAGATTTCTCGTACAATTGTTGTCTTATCGTTTTTATCCTTTTTGGAGACAACTATTTTACCATCCCTCAAATCACATTGATATGCCTTAAAGGATTTTGTCTTATTATCGGCAAATCTCAATTCTTTGCCCGGCGTAACGGTGGCCAGATTTTTCACCGCTCTTTGCACTTCGTTTAGGAAATCCAAAGGTTTAACAACTAAATTATTATTTTTACGATCATCCTCGGGCCAATAGGACCAATTTAGAACAACATCGAACACTTTGGTATCATGGTGTAGAGGTCTCTCCAAATTGCCATTGCATATGACTTCGTGCAGTGTCACTTGATGGGTGGATAATTTCATTTTCGGTGCAAGTTCTTGGCAAATTTCATAGGCGGTTTTTGTCGGCGAAATGGTGACATTCACTTGAGTCTTTTCCTAAAAAAATAGGGATTTTAGAATAGTTCTCCGAAAAAATATGATATTTCTTACCTCTGTGGTATTCTCTGGATTGGGATTGAGTGTTATCCACATCTTCAAATCTCCAGACTTTTTAACAGAATCGGATAACGACTCTGCCGCTGCATAGTATTTTTGCAGACACAACAACATTTCTTGTTCCTTTTTCTGTAATTTTAAAATAAAAACAAGTAGTTAATATTGGAAAATCAAAAGCTAGAAATGGGGCTCACGAAAAACTGTAAATCTGTCCGAAAATTGCTGATTTCATCTTGAATACAACTTTTCCAGCCAAACCACATACTAACCATTTCATCAGGGGACAATGGGAATAAATTCTTGTACAGTGTTATCAAATCAGCAAATACATCGGCTTCCTTTTGCGAATAGACCATTTCCTCTTGGGATTGATGATTCTGCATTAGAGTTGGTCCCCAGATCATTGTCAGGTTTTGTATGCTCATTTTATTTTTGGCCTTTTGTGAACTAATAAAAGCCAAATGGCCCACAATTTTCTTGAGTGTTTCCCTTTCTATGACACTGAGGCGGGCTAGTAACTCTTTGTACAGTGGTATCTTCTCCGTTGAAGTTCTCAGCTCGGATACACAAATAAAACTTTCCGATAATTTACCCATTAGTCTTTCGGGTAAATCACGCATAAAACGTTTCAAGACATTTGCCACATCATGTTCATTGTATTCGTTGCGGGTTATTTCGACATTAAATGCATCAGCCCGAAATGCGGACATCAACTTCAGTATGGAGTTTTCTGATCCCGATTTACGATAAATACCTTCCGACATTGAACCATGTATGTAAACGAAATTAATGCATTTATCAACAATAACGGGAACATTAAATTTGGTCAATTGTTGATCGGCCAGTGTGAAGCCATTATTGTGGGCCACTTCACGTATTATGTGTCGCCATATTTTCGTTTCACGCGGTGTACTCATTATCATGTAGACGGTAAATGGCGGTGCATCGATCATAAGCATTGGTCCATTTTCCACATGTAAGTTTTTGATGGTGTCATCACTGTCTTTGAGAACTGTTGGATTAGAATGATTAAAATGGGTATTCCATGGAATTTTGTTAGATATTCTTATCCTTACCAATACATCTTGCTTTCCTCAAATCAACTTTTTCAACATTGCCGGTCGCTTCTGTCACAAATATCAAACGTCGTTGAGTTTTCTTCAGCACCAACCAGGTTCCACTCCATTCCGAGGTTATGGAATTCTGTAAGTTATAAGGAAAAGTTAAATATTGGAGAAATTGAAAATGTAATTGAGTATATTATGATCACTAAAGGATAATCATCCAAAAATTACATATTTTGAGGCATGCATCCATTTCACCTATAATTTGAAAAAGTCAATTACATCGGCTTAAGATTAAGACATCCTTCTAAAATAAATAATTTAATGGTAGATACGCCCACAACTTACCACTCTCAACAGGTTTATGTAAAATGACACTCTAGAGAAAGATTTTCTGTATGAAGTCGACCGAAGTCCATAAAATGAAACACGGAGTTCCCCATAATGAAATAATGTCTTCGCGAATTTTGCCTTTATCTTCCAGAAGTCATGGACTTTTTTATGCACACTTATGCTATTGTAATATTGGCTTCGATTCCATCGAACGTTCATCGATGAACAGTAAATTTCGACAACCAATAATACCAAAATCGATATCATTTTTAGGTCGTCCAAACCATGTATAAATACGATAAATTGAATAGTTCAGGAAGAATCTGCTTTATTTTGTGACAAAGAACAGAGCCTTTAATTCGATACACTCCATTCGGGCTGATGTCAATTTAAAAAATTGGCAGACGTATTTCTGAGTCAATATTCTGATACCAAATATCACTGTTTTTAGTGCATATTACGAATGTGAGGGACTTAAACTCCAAAGGGGATGAAACATATATATGGGAGCTATAGCTGTATTTTAACCGATTTTCACAAAATTTGATGTAGTTGTATCTAGGCTGAATTCGGTCTAAATACATCCTATTTGGACGAATGTTACACATATGGCCCACAATATAATTAAAGTTGGGAAAATTGAATTGGAATTGGATAACATATGTATGGGAGCTATATCTACATAGGGACATACATAAATCGACTCAGAATGTGATTCTATGAAGATCATCAAAAGGAACTATGGGCCTACTTTGTTTCCTTCTGCACCAAATGTGCAAAGACATGATATCCCGTACAACAGTGTGGCGAAAAAGGGAATTTTCACAAATTGCCAGTGGTCGGAAATGTGCTAAAATTATACAAATCCCGAATATACAGGGTGAGATGAAAAAACTGCAACCAACTTAGGACTGCTGTCATTTCTAAGCTACTCGTCCGACAGCTAATAAAATTATTCCAGTAACAGCTCATTATATTGTTTATAAGCGTACAAAAGCATTTTGGTGAGAATTTTCCAGAAAAAAACTTATTCGTGATGGAATTCTAGCGTGATAGTGTGCTGTCTTTATATTTGGCTGGAAAACCACAAGTGGCTTTCGTTAGAGCACTCCAGATTTAAATGTGAATAAATCTTTTGTGTCTCGTACCATCGCTCGTTATCGTGATACTGGTAGCGTAGCCCGACGGAAGTGGACAGAAGAAAACAGCAACATCAGCAGAAATGGTTCGAAAAGTAAAGAACCGACTTGATCGAAACCCGCGTCGCAGTGGCCGAAAAATGGCTCGTGAGCTGAACATATCAGAATATTCCATTCGACAAATATTGAAAAATGAGCTCGGAGTAAAGTCACTGAAATTCCAAAAAGTTCATGAACTTACACCGCAACAGAAAAAAATAGACACAAAAGAGCTAAAGAGATGCTTCGTTGGTGAACTGCTGAATTTAGTTCTCTCCGATGAGAAAACATTTGTTGTCCAGCAGTTTGTAAACAAACAAAATGATCGTGTTTACTTGCTAAAGAGGTCAGCTGGAAATGTGCGCCTTCGGTTGGCCGCCATAACAGCCGTATTAATCGACCGTGGCATCAGAATAAATGCCGAACATAATCACTAAAATATTCCGGAGGGTGTATTAAAGCCTTGGGCAATGTATATTATCGCTGCAGGACTTTTGGTATTCAAAATGGGCCATGTAGGTCCATGTTATGGTAGGCCCCATATAACGGCACCTCCTGATATTCGGTATTTTGATGACTTTAGCGACATTATTCATCGGACTAATTTCAAATTTGGTATTTGAAGTTCGAAATCGATGCTACAACCTAAGACAGAAAATTGTGTGTGCAGGCCCACGTCTTCGTATAGCCCCCATATAACGGTACCTCCCGATATTCGGTATTTTGATGGTTTTAGCGATATTATTCACTGGAATTATTTCAAAATTAGTATTTGAAGTTCGTAATGGATACTACAGCCTATGACAGAAAATTGTCGGTGCAGGTCCACGTCTTCGGTATTTGATTATTTTAGCGACATTTTCTCCGGCATTGTTTCAAATTTGGTATTTGAAGTTCGTAATGGATATTGTTCCCACTTTATAATGAGTGAAGCATGCTAGCTCTTATTTGAGCGAAGTTTGCGCTTAGCTCGTTTTGGGAGGTTAAGTTTTTACCCAACATATTGGGCGTCATTTACACTTAGATAGTGTTACATAAGGTGTTTTATGCCGAAATGATCAATTTAGACATAGCCGCCATACAAAGATACCACAAGAGGTATGCCATTAGCCTAACATACATTTTGTAAATCTAAGTTTAGCTGTCACTTAATATTTTAAGATTACACTGGATAAAAGAGTTTTTTTCTACAATATGACAACCTAAATAGGTCCATTTTTCCATTTTCATTATTAATTGTGCCCAGCCTTTCGGAGCAAGGACTATTCCCTGCCAATAAAAAAAATCGAGAAAGTCCATGAATCCGAATCGATTTCAAGACTACCTCTTACTACGTATTGCACAATTTTCTGTATAAAAAAATTTATTATTTAAATAGTTTTATAATCCCTTACCTTTAGATAACACCAACCAGCTCTGTAATATTGACAGGTATACTTGACTGGAACCACATTTGTTAAACTTTCCAGAAGCTTTTGCATCCAAATTCCCCTAAACAAAACAACAAAAAAAACTATTTAAAAAAATGTATCACAACAACAAATCATCTGTCCTTACCTCTCCGACTCCTTGCCCACACCGTAGAGATGTGAAGTCCGTTGATATTTTACATTACCCGCCGAACTAGATGTTATTATCAAATTCGGATTGGATAACTGCTGAACACCTCCAGAACTTCCGCCACTGCCATTTTTCGGTATAGATGTGGTCATTTCAAAACAATAAAATCGCGTAGAATTATCTGTGACACGACTATTGCTGACACATTGCAGCGTGGTGATGTATTCGAGTGGTATGGCTTCTTTGGGCGTTTTCATCTCCTGATCAAGGAATGTTTGGAATTGGCGATCTCTGAGGATGGCTTTGCGATTTTGCATTTCTTTGAGGATATCTTCAACCACTCCGGAGGGGAAACGTATCAAGGGACCTTCGTATCGCACCAGCAGCGGTGATAAACTGGGACGTGGAATCATTTGTAATGTCACCTTGACATCAGATGACTTTTGGGGCGTTTTAAAGCTGGCCTTGCGTTTCAAGGCATCAACGTGAAATTTCACATTGGAAAAAACATTTTTTGTGTTATTCATAAAACGGGCAGCGGTGCGTTGAGAGGTAGAGGAATGTTTTTGTTGTGTCGTCGTCGTCTCTGTGTTCTTATCCGCCGGGCATTCCCCAATGGCCTCCAGGTAGGACGGTGGACTTTCACCATCATCAATGTTTGGTTTATTGAAGGGATTCGAACGTGCTTGTGGGGAATTACCCTGTTTCTGTTGTTGTTGTTCGTCATCGGACACAAACCATTGTGAACGTTTTTGTGCGGATGGTTTGCTCAAATCTACCCTATTGGAAGATGTGGTGGGATTTTCATCAACACGACTTAGATATGGTTTGACTCTGGCCTCAAAGTCATCTGCCAGCATATTTTCTCGACTATCAGAAAGCAAATGGGCATTCTGATGGACAATTTGCATCGGTTTGGCGGAAGTGGAAGGTTTTTCCAATTGTTTTTCCGGCAAATTAGGTGTGGGAAGTACTTTTACAGCACCGCTGGGTAGTTCTGTGGCAGCAGTAGCAGCCATGTGTGTATTGTCTTCTTCCGAAGTACACATGCTAATATCATCATCCGATTTGGCACAACTTTGATCGTTCACACTGCCATAGGTATCTTCTTCGAGCAGATACTCCAGCAACAACAATTGATTGGATTTGTCGTCACATTTTAAGGTTGTGCCGCGCTTGTGCATTAGAGGATCAAATTCTTGTATAATATCCTTTGAGGGCTTGGCTGTGGCCGAACCACCCACCGCCCCCAAATCACATTCATCTGCTGACTCTTCTTCGGAGATCTGAACTAGGGCATTGCGTGGTGTGAGTATGTCTTTGTTGCTGGTGGCCATTTCGAAGACATTGCCATAGGTAACTTCTTGATTGGCATAGATGGGATCCACCTCATTCGATGAGGAGGTAGAGGCATTATCTTGATCCTCATAATATTCCCATGAATCGCTGCGATCCGGCTGTGGTGTTTTCTTTTCTTCTTCTAGGAGTTTTTCCCTTAGAATCAAGGATTCTTCACGTTCTGCCTGCACTGCAGCGGCATTCATGGCATGCAGCTCTGTGGAGTCAATGTTGGGCCTTAGGTTGGTCACATTCATCTCGGGCAGTTCTCTTCTTAGCTGTATATCTTCATAGTTTTTTCTGCGTTTGTGCCGTACTGGAGGTTGAACTGGATTAATTTTGCCATAGGCAGCTTCGTTGTTGTTGTTATTGTTGTTTGCAAAATCTGATGGTAGCACTGGAGCTGGTATAGAGGGCATTGGGGGTGATGGTGGCATATCAATGGAATCGCGGGAATTAATGGTATCAGAACTGCCGGCGGACAAGGAATTCTGTGAACGTTTGTTTAAAACTTTGTTGGCTGCCTCCAGGGCCAAGGGATTTGTCATTATTGGTCTTTTACTCGATACTGGTGTGTTTTCATGCGATGTGGCCAGCGATGAGTTGGAAGATGTTTTCATAACCGCATGGTATGAGGGAGGCTGCAACAGCTCATTTTCTTTATCCTCCTCGGTTTTAAGCACTCTGACACTGCGTGGCACCTCATAGGAGTTATCCAAATCTTCCTGTTGCGACCTTAGATCATACATGCCTTTGGCCTTGTGCGACAAGGGGCTGGTAAAGGTGATGCCATTAAAAACCTGATCATTGGGCGGCAAAGTCTGTGGTCTATCCATGTGAAATTCTGCTGTTGCGGTTTTATCCTTTTTTGTCAGCGTGGTAAAATTGGCTCCGAATTTCTTTAGACGGCTGGTCGTACCTGATCCAATGGAACTCAAGGCTTCCGTCGATGATTTGAGATTTTTGTCCAATTTATGTTTTGCTCCCCTTGCTTTCAATGCCACACGTTCTCCAATGGATTCGGTTAGCTGTTTTGAGGTGGAACCCAATGATTTAAGGAGATCTCTGAAAAATGAAACACGAACAACAAATTAAATTAATAAATGTATTATTAAAGAGCTAAATATTAATGGCAACTATAACCCACTAGTGATTCATGTTTTGTTAAAATATTTTTAAAATATTTCTATTTTACGATATCCACACCAATAGTCATCAAAGGAAACTGAAACCGAGATTCGTTGGTATGCTGTTGTGTAGTACCCACTGCGAAAAATTACACTTTGATTAAAACCTCTTCGAGCTGATTAAATGTCTTGAATGAATGGTGTTGCTTGCAGCGATATCGAGTTCAGACTGAGAATATTTTTGTTTTTCTTTTCTGTAGCTTTTTGTTTTCTGTTTGAAAAAAGTACCAAGAATACAACAGCAACAACAACAACCATGCATTCTTTGACTTATATTCGGATTATCGTCTGTGGCTGTGCTCTGCTCCTTCTTCTTTCGTTTTTGTAACTTTACATTGTGATCACTAGCTCCCTCCCTCCCTCCCGCTTTCCCTCACCATCATTACCCACCCCTATTCTCCCACACCAGTTCTCTCTCTCTCTATTCACATCCAGTTGTGTATATGTTTGGAATCAATTAAATGAATGTATTTATGGTGTCGTTCCCGAGTAAAATAAATAGCATGCAGTTTAATTTGTTTTTGTTTCTTATAAGAATATTCCCTGGCGTTTACTAATCTAAATTTAGGCGATAGTAAAGATATTTCATACATTGTATGGTGTTCGGCGGTTTGATATATATATATTTTTTTTTTTTTTTTTTTTGATCGACGAAGCACTGTGGTTTTTCTAGATACAGATTCGGACGATAGGCGCATGAAAGAAACCATGTATGAAGAATGTTTCATTTTTAACCATAAGGGGGTATTCGTTCCTCAAGCTATTCAGCATCTAATTCTAAGTCGATTTAACCAGATACCTCAAGTCGTTTGTTGAAAACAAATATTTAAAACGAATAAATAAAATTTGGCATAGACATCTGTGATACTCCTCAACTCTAGTTTACACAACATGTTAGAGCCATATGAAAAGAGACTTTTTTATGGCGTACTTTTAGGAATTTCTCACAATTTATTTTAAGGGTAATAGGAAAGTTGTTCAAAAAAATAGAATAAGAGTTTGGTTCACATAATTTAATGTTTGATGATTAATTCATGCAAATGTAGGCCGCGACTGCGCCGGCCGGCAACTCTGGAATAACTGCGTTAATTGAAGCGGCCTCGCACGCATAGACATGAGCTTTTGAGGGAGGGGGATGGGGGGCAATATTGAATATCACTTCACGGCAGCGCTCACAAATCACATAGACGATACGATTCGATGCGTATTTGATGCCACTAGTCCAAAAACGTTTTATGGATGTATTAGTACCTTTTGCAATGCTTCTGTCTGATTTTCATCCCAAAATCGAAGATTAGGCTTATTTACAGGGTGAGATGAAAAAACTGCAACCAACTTCAGACTGCTCTCACTTTTAAGCCACTCGTCCCAAGTTTGACCGACTTACTTCTTATATTAATTTGACTCTGTGTTGATTCACTATGCATAAATTGAACAAGTAAAAAAGCTGTAAGTTCGACCGGGCCGAACTTTGAATACCCTCCACCATTTGGTACAAATTTGGCAATTTTCAAATAAATAAAGTCCGTTAAAAATTCTGTTAAGGTCTATACGTCGACGTGGACCTGCATAGGCGAGTTTTGTTACAAGCTATTACATTATTCAATTGCGAAAAAATCTGTTTATAATGTAGCTAAAATCATAAAAATACCGAATATAGGGAGGTACCATGGGGGTTATAAAACGTGGACCTGTACAGACAATTTTCTGTCATAGGCTGTAGTATCCATTACAAACGTCAAATGCGAAACAATTCCGGGAAATAATGTCGCTAAAATCATCAAAATACCGAATATTGGGGGTACCGTTATATGGGTCTATACGAAGACGTGGACCTGCACAGACAATTTTCTGTCTTAAGCTGTAGTATCCATTGCGAACTTCAAATACCAAATTTGAAACAATTCCGGTAAATAATGTCCCTAAAATCATCAAAATACCGAATATCGGGGGGTACCTTTATATGGGGGCTATACGAAGACGTGGACCTGCACAGAAAATTTTCTGTCCTAGGCTGTAGTATCCATTGCGAATTTCAAATACCAAATTTGAAACAATTTCGGTAAATAATGTCGCTATAATCATCAAAATACCGAATATACCAAAACGTGGACCTACATGGCCCATTTTCAATACCAAAAGTCCTGCAGACATAACATACATTTGAGTTAAAATTTTATCAATCTACTTCAATTCGTTCGAAAGCTAGAGTAATTTCCACAGACGGACGGACATCGCTAAATCGACATAGAATTTTATGCTGATCAAGAATATATACTTTGTTGGGTCCCAATGTATATTTCAAGGTGTTACAAACAGAATGAAAAACTTCATATACCCTCCATGCCATTGTAGAAAAATACAGGTAGATATATCAACGCTTGGGAACATTGATATGTCAAAAATTGTTAAATGTCTTTTCAAATATAAGTAGATTTTTATTTTTTTTTTTTTCTTATACGACGTCATTCGGAGGTTATTATTTTTACAATTTTAAATAATTTTTCATTCAACATTTGCAATCCCAAAATTGGTTTGACAGTTCATTGTCCCTGGAGCTGTGTCGATGCGTCTACCTATATTCTTCTACCATGCTCCATACTATGGTGGAGGGTATAAAAAGAGCATTATTATATTTAAGAAATGATCAAAATTAACAGTGGACTTCAAAAAAAAACTAAAATGTGACTTATCGAAGAAAACATTCAAATGGCAATTAATATTCGAATGTTCCATATTCCTATGTCTCTTAAGAGCACATTTAATTCTTCTTTATTTATTTATTTATTTTAAAATTTTAATTTTCTAAAAAGCTTGCTATTTCTTTTCTTTAAACACTGTGCTCCTCCTGCGCTGTTCCCTATCTTCACACAACTGTCACGGGTGTGTCAATAACAAACAACACCAGTTGTTGTTGGTGTTGCTGTTGATATTTAACGCGTGCCCTTTTGGTACGAGCTGCAATATATTCAAAGTGGATGATGGTACATTTTCAAGATCATTCGCAGCATCTGTTTGTAAGTGAATTATGAAGTGCATTGTATCTGTGAATACACATATCTGTCTCGAGTGGGAGTGTTTGTGTTATTCACATTCATTTTGAAATATCTGTGGAGGAGTTTCGGCTTTACACCACATAAAGGAAATTAAAGACTATCTGTGTGCTATTGAACTTTTGTGTGGCATTTCTTTGATGATCAAGATGGATAGATGCATGCATGAGTGGATGGCTGGCTGGCTAGGCATATGGCATGAAATGTGGGGAAATAAATTCTGTTATTTCCGTTTTCTTAAGGGAAGTTTTTTTCCTTCATTTTTTTCGAAGTTTATTTTTATACACATTTTTTGACACTGATGTACAAAGACATTATTATGTGGGGCATTGGATTCTTATAGGATCTGACACTGGATAGTCATTTCTCATTAGTATAATTGTTAAAATTCCATGTATTTTATGATTTATTAAAACATAAGGAAGAAGTCTAAATTCCATGGAAAATCACATAAGAAAAATGATCAGGATTTTATAAACATGAACATATTAGGCGAAAGTTGGAAGAAAATAGTATGAAAAGTTAAAAATCGGGTGGGTTTTAATTTGAAATCGGAAGGAATTAATATCTGGGAGGTATATCCAACTCTGAATCGATTTCTACTAAAATTTGTAGACATTTACAATTGTCGACTTTAAGAACGCTTAAATAAAATATATATCGCTGCTTTAGCTATCTTTGGCTTGATTCTCATCAAATTTGTAGTATTGGCTTCAGGGCTAAATTTAGGCTGATATTACATATTTGGTGCACGATAGAGGTAAAAATGGATTTTGAAACGGATATATCCATATCGAAAATCGATCTCCACGAAATTTAGCAGAGGTGTGTCTAGGCTGTAGGACAGAGGAAATGTAGGATACAGGAAACCAATTATTTGGTAATGGAAGTTTTTGTTGTATGTTTACTGTTTTAATGAAAATTGGAAACAGGTCCACTTTTAGTATTTAAAAGTCCCTCCTTATTTTGGCAATTTAATATGTCGGATTCTCAGAAGATAACATATAGCAATGCCTTTTGATATTCGGTAAATTTTTTACTTCAATAGGTACGCTAAGCCTTTGCAGGTTTTCTTAAGTTCCAGGTCATATTTTCCAACTGAAGTGGCTGACGCATATTACGGCTGTATAGGACAAAAATAAAAAATAAGATTAAACCTATATATGGGAGCTATAGCTATATCTGAACCGATTTCTAATTAATTTGACACACTTATTTCCAGGATCAATTTGATCGTATGTGCCAAATTGCATCCTATTTAGATTAATATTACAAAATTGGAGCACATACAGGGTGCAACCAACTTCAGACGGATGTCATTCCTGAGCCACTCGTCCGGCAGCTATTAAAATTATTCCAGTGACAGCTCATTATATTGTTTACAAGCGTACAAAAGCATTTTGGTGAGAATTTTCAAGAAAAAAGTTATTCGTGATGGTATTCAAGCATGATAGTGTGATTTCTGAACAACAACAAGTGAGCACAGTTAGAGCACTCCAGCATTGAAATGTGAATAGATTTTTTGTGTCTCGTACCATCACTCGTAACCGTGATACTGGTAGCGTAGCCCGACGTCAAGGAATTGGACGGAAGAAAACAGCAACATCAGCACAAATGGTTAGAAAAGTAATGAAGCGACTTGATCGAAACCCGCGTCGCAGTGCCAAGAAATGGCTCGTGAGCTGAACATATCACAATATTACATTCGGCAAATATTGAAAAATGAGCTCGGGATAAATCCATTGAGATTCCAAAATGTGGAAGAACTTACACCGCAACAGAAAGAAAATAGACTCAAAAGAGCTAAAAAGTTTCTTCGCTTGACCGAAAATATTGAACTGCAGAATTTGGTTTTCTCCGATGAAAAAACATTTGTTGTCCAGCAGTTTGTAAACAAACACAATGATCGTGTTTACTTGCCAAAGAGGTCAGCTGAAAATGTGCACCTTCGGTTGGCCACCAGAACCCAAGCGCCGGTCATGGTGATGGTGTGGACCGCCATAACAGCCGATGGTAGCTCTCCGCTTGTATTAATTGAACAAATGCCGAATATTATCGCGAAAATATTCTGGAGAATGTATTAAAGCCTTGCACACGCAAACATTTTGGCCGCAGATCTTGGACATTCCAACAGGACTCAGACCATCACACTCATCACGGGCCACCCAAGAATGGTTACATAATAAGGTTCCTCGCTTCATTTCCAGCGCACAATGGCTACCAAAATCTCCGGATACCATTCCGTTGGATTACTGTGTCTGGAATATTTTGGAAAGCAAGGTAGGCACCAAAAAAGTGTCGATCACCTCAAACAAGCGCTTCGCCGGGAATGGGCCAAAATACCGGGCAGCAACATTCGGGCAGCGGTTTCATTGGCCGTTTGAAGGCCATAATGCGTTCCAAAGGTGACCAATTTGAACAAATCTAAACTCATTCTAAAATTTGATGCTATTTCCAACATTTTTTGCTTTCATTCAATACAATTAAAAAAAATGTAAAAATTATGGCGTTTGACTTTTTTGCAGTTTTTTTTTTTATCCCACGGAATTTGTTGAAATTTTTAAGTTCCTTCCAAATGGTGAACTTAGCTGCTTTTTAATATATACCTTTGATGTCTTCTGGGACCAATAGTAGAATTGTAAGACAAATATATGTACAGGGTATATTGACTTGCTACAATTGCATCTATGGGCAGTTTTTAATAAAATTTTGAAAAAATGAGTTTTTTGCTGAATCGCTTGATGCTTCAAACAACCAAAATAATTCTTGAATTTTTATCTGTAACATTGTCGAAGATATTATATGCCTAAAACAAGCGGATTCCAAGTAATCTTAGATAACTTTGCGATGTAAACATCAAAAACGCCGATACACGGTCTTCTATTTTTAGCTTACTTTCATAATCTGCATAATCATATAACATTAATACAAGGGGTAAAATATTCATATTCATATAAGTAACACATATAATAATTAGGCCAATCCCTTAACTTATTCCATATTATAAAATTTACAGAATTTAGAATAAGGTTATTCGTGTTGTATGTGTAAGGTCATATATAATGTTAAAAAATAAAAAAGTGTTTGAATTTGTATACCCTAAATCGCTATTACCATCTACACGTTTTTCAGATGTAATTCAAGAATTCCATTGTTAATTTGGAACATTTAATTTCAAATTCGAATTTTCCATTTTTAATTCGAAACTATGTTTGCATGTAACAAATAAATTAGTTCGAATATTAAAAAAAATTATTTGAATTACAACTAAAATAATTCGAATTACAAATAGAGTAATTTGTATTAATTTTTTATTACAAATAGAATATTTCGAATTTGAAATGGTTTGTAACGAAATGCAAAAGAAATTCTCAAATTACAAATTTAATTCTTAAATTACTCTTGAAATAATTCGAATTTCGAAAAAAATGGAACGATTTACACCGAATTAAAAATAAAAATAATGTTTTGAGTTACATCTGAAAAATGTGCAGCTTAATTTTACCAAATAATATACAAATTTAGGTTAATTACAAACTTCCCAATTGCAATTTTGTCCATTCTAAAAACAAATCACCCCAAACTAACTTTGCATGCCAATTTAAAATGTGTTAAACACAACAAAAACAATATGAAATCAAGCATATTTGTATATTACTTATCACTGGAGATCGAATTCAGAATACAGTTATCGATTATATTCCCATTTTCTTCCTCACTATCGTCAATGGAATGATCAGAAATGTCATGAGAATCAGTGCTGTTGCCTTGGCAGTTACCGTCCTTTACATACCCGGGTGATGGTGACTTGTATTTGCTGTTTTCCGAACTCTCTATGGAATCGGCCAGTGAAGATGTTGATGACTTATAACTCATCGATGATTTATTGAGTTTGTCTCGTTTAAAATTAATATCCTTCAGATCGGAGTCCTTGTGGTAACTACTTGTGGTCGATACTTCACTGGAAATGGAATAACGCCGTCGCCGTTCCATTTCACGTTCAGAATTTAAATAGGTTTTCGGTGGCAGTTCAGGAGCACGACGTGTTACTTGTATTGCAGATTCATTATTGATTTTATTAACTGCTCCACCGGAGCCGTCTAAACTGTTCAACGAAGTTGGTTCCCCAGAAGAGGCCGGTACAATTACCGTATTTTCATAACTTTGTATTTCATTGTTTTGTGGCTTGCGTGGACGGGGGGCTGGTTTCGGTGTTGGTGCTGCATATATGGCAACATTTTCATTTGCATTGGGTCCATACAGATCATTTGTTTCCGTGAGTATGGATTTATTGTTGTTGTTTGTCGGTGTTATGTCATCATCTTCGGGGAGGGTGGGGTACAGCAGGAATACCTTGTTATTTGGTACTTTTTCATTATTGTTGGCATTCGTTTGGAGATTTTCCGATTTAATGTTAAGATTTTTGTTTATAAGTTCAACGGCAACATTTTCATATTCGCTCTTACGTAGTTCGGGATATAGACGTCTTGGTGCCGGCACCGGCCGCACCGTTTGCTCGTTGTCCATGATCAACTACTGAAAATAGATAAAAAAAAAAGGAGAAAGGGGGAAGGTTAGTAAGAACTTCGTAAATTGTAGGCTGTAAGTATGAAAATAAACATTCTGGAATCTAAAAAGTTTTAGGGTATCAGTGGGTTTTGGAAACTATGTAAGGAATCGTTCACAGATTTTAAAGTATAATTTTAGGTGCAAGTTCCCCCCCCCCAATATATTTTTTAAAATTTTCGGAATATGATTCCTTATCGGAATCCGTTGCTTTAAGGTATATAGTGCCTTTGGCAATATTCCAGATGACAATATGAGGATTTTATTGGTTAAAAAAGGTAACCCTCACGCGACTAAAACGAGTGGTATTTAAACGTGATCGATTTAAACGTGATCATTGTAAGTAAAAATGCTCTACAATAATAAAATAGTGAAAAAGAGTACTAAAATGTATTAGAAAAGTACTAAAATGTATTAGAAATGTAATAGTTGTATTGGACGCACGAAATGAGTTAGAATATTGAAATTTGGAATGAGTATCACTGATGGAATGTAGGATAGCCGGTGCGAGGGCATACCTCAGAAAATCTCAAGCCCCGCACGGCTTCTTACTAAATTTATAAAGTTAAGAAAACTATAGGTCACGTAGCCGGTGCTGGACACACCACAGATGATGGCCGGCTACTATAAAGAGCTATAAAGGTTAAATACATTCTAGTGAAGTAAATCTCAATTTCATGATTTTATTACTATATCTTCGGAGCTACAAGAGATATCAGAACATTTGGTACCATTTCAGAAAGGCAAAAGTGTAAGCTATAATGTAGTACGTAGATCATACTACCCCATAATGGGTCAATTTTCAATTTTGGTGGTAATCGGGTAATATTTAGTGGGTGAAATAGACCATAACGTTTGTGTTAAATAAAAGTCAAATTTTCCATTAAACCGCGAATATTTTTAATCCCGGCAAAAACACATATAGATGAAAATTTTAACCGATAGGTAAATGCCGATAGTAAATATATAATATAGATTTTGCAGTATTTCGTAATATTTATTATTTTTCTCATATTTTTTATCGCATGAGATTTTTTTTTTTTTTAATTTGATTTATTTTTTCATATTTCAATATTTCGATCTTCACGAAAATTTTAATAAGGTTAGGGTTAGAATCAGAAGGGCTAGGCCCATTGTTTTTAAAGATGTCCGCAATATATTTAGGGGTTGAAATGGACCAACAACTAAATATGTTCTTGATTTTGCAGCCGTTATAAGGGTCACAAACAGAAACCAAAGGATACGAAATCTCGCATGAACTTAGAGTTTAGGACAGCGGGTAGAATGGACCACTACTTTTGTGTGAAAAACTCCAACATTTCCATTCTACCGAAAGGCTGAAAATAATTACAGGCGAAATCCAAAATACACAAAAGCCGAACTTTCGGCTTTTTTACGGTGTTTTCGTTGACGAATATAGCTAAATATAGTAGACAAGCAAATCATATGGATGAGTCTAAATTTGGAGATACAGAGGGGCCTCTTACTTTTGGAGATGATCGCAAAATATTTAGGGATTCCAATGAACCAAAAACAGAAAACAATTTCCTGATCACACAATTGATTGCGTTAATTTTGGCCAAATGTCCCTGGTCAAAATGTTAAGGGTAATATCTGGGCAGTGCTCCATGACATAATTGAAATTTTTTCCACATTTTAACAAGTAAGCAAAGGCTATAGTCGTGCGGGGCCGACCATGTGATACCCTACAACAATACAATATATTCGAAGTCCCATATATTCAAATCCATTTTGGAAGATTTCGTTTTTGAAATAATGCCAAAGACCAATCCGTAGTGTTGTGAAGTATTCAAAAGAATTGCACACGAAAGTTGTGGTCCATTTTACAGCTAAATATAATCCAATGGCCATCCAAAATGCTAGACTTCTTCCATGTCCTCAACTCTCTTCCGATATGAAATTTCGTGTCGATTAGTTTTGAATTGTGGTCTATAGAACGACTACAAAATTAGAAAATTTTAAATTTTTTTAAATGTACATCCTAAGAACAATAGGCTTCAATTCCGACCCTACCCCCATGCAAAATTTCATGAGAATCAGACGAAAATTGCGACATACATATAATACCCTCAAAACGTAGTGTTGGGGGTGTAAACATTTAGAAAATTTAAAATGCAAAATTGTAAGTCAAGTCGAAAAAATCGCATGCGATAAAAAAATATGACAATAATGGAAAAAATGAAGCAAAAGATATAACTATTTTATTTTATTTTTATTATCCCGCCATTTTCTTAGATTTTATTTTTTTTCTGGCAAAAGACCATTTCGAATTGATGGGAATTGTGAAAATCGGTCAAGCGGTTCTAAATTTATAAGCAGAATAAATGAGATAATTTTTTTAACATATATATTGTACCTATTTTGCTATATATCCGATTCCTTGGCTATTAGCATCACTTTAATGGTAAGAAGTGATCTTTTAATGTGTTTGTGATTTGGCTGGGATTAAAAATATTCGCAGTTTAGTGGAAATTTTCCTATTTTCTAACATAAAAGTTAGGGTCTATTTTACCCGCTAATTATTGTCCAATATATATTGGAAATATTGGTAGGTTTCTGTCCAATCCCAAACTCTAACTTCATGTAAATTTTCGCGTCGATTGGTTCATATTTATGACATATAGAGCAACTGCAAAATCAGTAAATTTTTCAGTTTTTGGTCCATTTGAACCTCTAAATATTATGCGATCATCTCCAATAGGGTTCTATTCTGGCCCTAGCCCCACCTCCATTCTAAATTTCGTGAAGATTGGGCCATAATTGCGACCTGTAGAGTGATTACAAATTAACATGGTCAGACGGACGGACAGACATAAATAGCTAGATCCACTCAGCTCGGCGAGATAGGAAGATCCATATATATTTTCTATACTATACTACTATGTGGGAAACCCATATTTCGAGGTGTTACATAATTTTTGGCCCAATCAAACTTAAATACCCCCAACACATAGTGTTGTAGGGTATAAAAAATAGATTTGTACAAAAGGTTTCTTCTAACATATTCTAGTGTTGTAGGGTATCACATGGCCGGCCCCGAACGACTATAGCCTTTGATCAGCTCGGCGAGATAGGAAGATCGACATGTTACAAACTTGGCCCAATCAAACTTATAATATCCTCAACACAATGTGTTGTGGGGAATAAATATTCTACAAATTTCCCAAAGGCCCTTATTCTAAAAACATATCGATTTTAATTAGAAATATAAAACATGTATTGCCACATTGAATCCATCATTGCAGCCATCAAAGATAAAATTATTTCTTTTAGCTCCTGCATAGATATCAGCTACGCAGCACTGTCTCCGTCCTTATTGAACATCATTAAATATATATCTGTAGAGAAATTATTATATTACAACAACCCGTATCATCCTAGTTCTTAAGGATGATTAATTTGTTGTAAATGACTCTCGTGAGGAATATATGAGAGAAGATTTATTTCATTTAAAATAGTTTCATAAAACCTTATTTTTCGAAAACGATTTATTACGTGTTATGTCATTAAAATTCAAAACAATCCCAACACTAAATCTTAAGTATCATCATAACTCCTTTCAAAATGATAATAAAGGGTTATGCCATGTCAGGTCTGTATCCTATAATTACCTACGATTATTGTGATCTCCCTTAAGCTGCTACCTGCGTAGATTGTGGTGCTAAGCCACAAATTTTTCCTACCACTCAAAAAGATTACTGTGGAGTAAATAAATCCGTTTTATTATTTTATGATCCCAGATCAATTAGTTATTTTCCAAATATTGTGCAATATAACCTTGTGTAAGCACGTACCTGGCGTTCCTGTCCTGGCTGGCAGTTCATATATAAATATTATCACAACCAGGGAGAAGTCAGCATTCGCTATTGGAATTGCAAGCTGATTACACAACTTGTTGTTAGTTATATTTAAATAAAAAAATTATTCTTAAAAATGAGTAATAATATCTTAAGTGGAGCAACCTCATCGCCAGCCAGTAAGAAACGCGAAAGAAATTCAGATAATGTCATGAAGTCCATGATTGGCATTTTCTTTGTCATTGTAAAAGTTGTGAAAATTGTAATCGAGGCTCTCAGCTTACCGAACGACGAAGAAGGCATCAAACTGAAAAGTCAAAGTCCACGTCTCACCATAACAGCTTCAGTGCAAACTTCAAGCATAGCCTCGGAATTTCAAAATTCTCCAATGAAAAGGCACAAGTGCCATAAATGTGAACGTATAAAGTGTAGAACGCGATCCTCGAAAACAATACAAGAACAATTGGAGTCATCGGCAATGCAAAAGCTGTCATCACCACCATCGTCGCCATTAAAAACAACATCAAACAGTACCGAAGCCAATATGGGATCACTGTCAAATGTCATCGCGCCTCAATTAAAATCACAAGAAATTACAGAAATGAAAAAATCAGTTACATTTAATATGGAAAATAATACCGTGAAACTCATATCTACAAAAGATGAGAAAATCAAGACTGGAACCAAAATCCAGGAAAGAAAAAGACCGGCGAAAGTGGCATCCACAATTATGAATAAACAGACAACTGAAAAAGTTCCATCCACACCCGGCCTTGTCAAGACAACAAAAATCGAAAGTCCAAGGACACCCCTAACCTATGTCGTTGGCAAACAACAAATGAATACATTCAATAAAAACGATATTGAAAGCGTTGAGAAATCTTCAAAAGTAAAAGTTGAAATTTATCGCATCGAACTTTTGCATCATTTGCTGACCATGCATAAGCCACCGCCACCAACGCCAGCCCGCAGACGTTTGGATTTCTAAGTTTGAAAAATTTTTTATTGAAGTTGTTTTAGAATATATTTTAAGTGTTATACGAATTATTTATGAAATATTTAATAATGAAAATAAAATTAAAAAAAAAAAATTATAAATTTTTTAAAAAAAAAAAATTATAAATTTTTAAAAATTATAAATTTTTTTTTAAT